CATCTGTTCTGTTTCGTTTTGTCTTGAAGGGGTTAAAATATGTTAGGAACGAAAACTGCTGTTTCAAATATCTTAAGTGCCGGAACAGTCAAGATATTGTTGTCTTTCAAAAATGGTCTACAGCTGTCAAGTGTTTGTAGTCAAAATATCGCTCTTATTACTCTTTTTTGAGATTTAAGGACGATTTCTCTATTAACGAATAGTATTTTGGGGTAACTCAACGGAGTTACCCCAAAATATTATGCAAAATTTTATGATTGATCCTAAAATACCGTGATACGCTGTTAGTAGAGCATGTTTATTTATAACCGGAGCCAGTTTGAATAGGTGTTACATCTAGATGTACATAATTACACTACTTCGTAGAAAAAATAAAAAATAAACTAACAATTAGTTTTAAAAGAAAATTAATTTATTTTTATATGTGGGTAGAATTAGGTGGGTTCGTTACCCAAGCCCCTATCTGCACTGACGCGCGGAATCTTACATTCCCTGGGTAGTCCTTAGCGATCAGCCAACAAGCTTCGAGTGATGTGGTACAGCCAATAATCCGTTGACCCTGTGGCGTTAGCCGGAACTAGGATAGGCCGAAATCAGCCGATGATAATCACCAAGGGTGAACTTAAAACCCTGAAATCAGGTTTGGGTGGAACATTAACACTCTGTCCAAATTCGCACCGTGACTGCAGCATAAGGGTACACAATGGTAAGCGATTGATTCTCTCACATTCAGGCAGAAAATAGATTTGTAAGGTGCGGCAGTCACGGTTTAAAGCAAGCGGAAGGACTAAGAGAAATTAAAAATAAGAAAAAACATAATAAGAACAAATAAAAATAAAAGAACAAATAAAAGGCAAAAACACATTACTAAGTTATTAAGCATGTATGTAGGTAGGCACAGCAACATAATGCAGGTAATGGTGCGTTTTTATTCATGTGTAGAAACAATAACCAAGCACTAATAATACATAGGTTTTAGATGGTAACTACCTACGGCTAATTACATTTTGAATGATAGCGGTAACTATTACATATGTGGTATGATAAAGGTAATAAAAGCACAACTTACCCAGACACGGGGTTTATAATATTCACTAGTGTTTTAGTTTTATATTTACAATTTTTTGTTGATACGATAACGGAATAATAAAATTAACGGAATAATAAAATTAACGGAACTTGAATCCGGTTGTCGAGTACGTATTTCTGACAAGCTCACAGCAAGACAACGATGCGTAGAATGTTTCTTTTCTCGTCGCGCGCACAGTGCTCGCGGACTCCCTTCACTTTCACCGTTCCCCACGCCCGGCTATCATGCCCGCCATCGAGAGTGCGGCGGCTGGTTTCACTATATTGAAGTAATGTAGCCACTGACAGTTTGTTTGTAAAATAATATTTTTAATAATTGTATTTAGTGTCTAATTTTAAGACTAGGTTTAAGTTTTATTTAGGATTTAAAATTAATTAGCTATAAGTTATGGGATTAAGCTCGTAAGTGAATAACTGAAATATTAATGCATAGCATTGTAACATAGGGCATACGAGTATGACGCAGAACTGATTCGCTTAGTGAGCTTTTCCGTATGAACTTTCCAATTTAGTTTATCTATTGTAAGCCCTAGGAATTTAGTTGTATCTACATTGCTCAATGTATAGTTTTGATGGTTTATCTATACCTACTAATAATATTATAAGGCTGAAGAGTTTGTTTGTTTGTTTGCTTGAACGCGCTAATCTCAGGAACGACTAGTCCGATTTGAATTGTTCTTTCAGTGTTAGATAGCCCATTTATCGAGGAAGAATATTTTCACCTTTTATGTAAACGAAATAGCGGGTTAAAGGAAGCGTTAGCCCAAAGTAACTGTTCCACGCAGACTAAGTCGCGGGCAGAAGCTAGTATTAATATACATGTCATTAGAGTACTTTGACTGAAGAACATTATTTTAGTTTTTTAAATATTTGTTTTGAGGTTATTACTGTTTTGTTTTGTTTTTTGTAAAACTATTATCAGACCTGCCGTCTTTTATAGCCGTTCAGAAAGTTGGACCATTGAATTTATGGTGTGACTCGGATGAACAAGGTCAGGAATGAGTATATATACTCGTATATATTCGAGAAAGTCTGAAAGTAGCCCCATTGGATAATAATAAATATAATAATAAATATCTTTATTTTTCAATAAAATAACACTTTTAGCATTAATTAGTGGTTGGAGCCTCCTTTTAAGCAAACATCTTCCATAACTAAATGTAAATTATACTAATATGAGCTGAGCTGTGTACGTGTTGTGTATGCATGTGTGTGTGTGTGTTCGTGTGTGTTCGCGCGTGTGTGTGTGTGTGTGTTCGCGCGCGTGTGTGTGTGTGTTGGTAGGTTTGGGTTAGTTAATGTCTTGTAAGTATGTTTCAGTAACTTCATAGATCAGTGGCTTTAGCCAGGCCGTTACAAGTTTCTTACATTCATTACAATTTTTATTATATATATGTATTGCTTTGTTTATTCTATTGTTTAATTTGGCAGCGCGTTTAGTGTATACTCTGTTAGCAAATTTAGTTTTAGTAACTGGTACTTCCACAATAACATCGTGACGCCTTCCCAGCATGAGACCAGAAGTATATGAAAGTGTCTTGTGTTTGTTTAAAACGATTTTAATATTATAAAGTTTAACAGAGAGCAGGCCAATAATCTGATAGTCTTTCAGTAGGGTATCTGTTCCTTCTGAAGTACATTATTTTTATAAGCGCTCGTTGTCCTCGTTCCACTTCTATAAGTGTAGTTTTTACAGCACCCCCCATACTGTGATACAGTACTCTAATACTGATTGTGCAAGGGCAATATAAATTTATTTAAGGACATTTCTACGGTGGCCTATTGTTGTATTTATGTCAGTCGAAACTATGTGTCTAAGTGTTCTAAAGATCCAGCATAGTTTTCTCATTCTTCCAGTGACATGTTCAATATGGGAACTCCATGACAAACTCTGGTCAACTATGACCCCTAAATACTTAGTTTGTGGAACGTTACTAATTGTAGGACACGTGCAGCTATTATTTGCGTTGGGTTTGTTACATAAGTGAATCCTGATTGCAAATTTTTTTTTTGATTGTGTGCGACTAGTGATGGTAAAGCATATATAGTTCGTTTTTAATGTCAATAAGTTGTCATTAAGCCAGTTAGCTACAAAGGCCATGCCCGTCTCTGTGCTGTACTGAACGTCATGCCACGTGTTGCCGTAAAATGTGACAGCAGTATCGTCAGCATATGAGATTATTATTTTTTAGGTTGGTGATTTTTAGGTTACATAAATCATTGATATATATTAGAAGTAATGTTGGGTGTTTGAGTGAATAAGGTCTTTATCTATTAGCTGGTGAATAAAACACTTGCAATACGTCTTCACAGATACGATAGTTTATTTGTACTAAAAGTAATACATAACAGCATAGAACTTGTGGACTGTATGAATGTGTGAGTACAGTATGTTTGTGAGTGTGTAAGTGTTGCTATTTTATTTCAAATCAAAAGTATGATATTTAGACATACCGCCCACCAAAGGACGCAGTACTTTAATATATCAAGTAAACAAAAGATAATACTATACTCATGTTACAAAGTAAAGAAAACAAAATAAATGTTACAAACTTAACAATATCTCTTATTAACTAATGTTGCAATCAAATAGATAGCTTATACATAACATTATAGTGAGAACAGTGATTTAAACAAGTAAACGAATTTATTTTGGTAACATACAAATTTTGCTCATAGGGCGTTTAATTTCACCATTTTTACATTTAATACACACTACTCGAGATAGATTATCAGGTCCATAATATTTGCTCTACCAATCATTAGGTGGCATATGACATCACCATTATCACGAG